AATGCGCCAGAAACAACCAACGAGAGAAGGCGGCGCGAAAAAACGGCGCGAAGTTGAACCTCGAGATGGCCGCAGCATTCACATAGACCAGGCCAGCGCGGAAATCGAGGACAAAGTCAGCACGGTGGTCGAAATAAACGGCAAGCCATGCTCAATGGAGATCGACACCGGATCGGCTCTCTCCATAATGTCTTGGGCGACCCTAAAGACCCTCCTGCCGTCGTTCCGGAAGGACCAGCTCTCCAAACAGAGACTGCGCATCCTAGACTACCAGGGGAACCGAGTCCCCCTCGAAGGCGTGGGCACGTTCCGAGTCACCTACGGAGACTACGAAAGAGACCTGCCACTGACCATCGTCACGAAGCAGCTTCCCAGCCTTCTCGGCATGGGGTGGTTCCGAGCCCTCGGCATGGGCTTCACCGGCGTCCACCAGATGCTCAAGTCATCGTTAAAAGACAGTCTCCTGACCGAGTTCCAGGACGTTTTCGGGGACACGTTGGGCAAGTATGTGGGGACCCCTATCTCCCTTAATTTAGACCCCAACGTAGCCCAAATAAGACTCAAGGCCAGACGGGTGCCTTTCGCATTGAAACCAAAGATCGATGCGGAACTGGACAAACTGATTAAACAAGGGGTGTTGGTTCCCATTGACCATGCAAAGTGGGAAACCCCTATAGTGACCCCAGTAAAGTCTGACGGCTCAATTAGAATCTGCGCCGACTACAAGTGCACGATCAACAAGGCTTTGCAGCCGAGCGCCTATCCGGTGCCAATCGTGCATCATCTACTACACTCCCTGGGGCCCGGAAAATTTTTTGCCAAATTAGACCTGGCTCAGGCCTATCAACAATTACCAGTTGATGATGCCACGGCAGAGGCACAAACGATTGTTACTCATAGGGGTGCATTCAAATGCACCAGGCTCCAGTTTGGGGTGAGCGTCGCACCCGGCCTGTTTCAAAGCACCATGGAGCGCCTTCTGCAAGGGCTTCCCGGAGTGGTGCCCTATTTTGATGACGTTCTAGTCAGCGCTCAGGACGAACGTCAGTTAGGGGACAGAGTAAGGAACGTCCTTTCTAGATTTAGGGAAGCGGGACTAAGGTTAAAGAAAAATAAATGTATGATCGCTGTCCCCTCCGTTGAATTTTTGGGGTACAGGGTGGACGGCACAGGCATCCACCCTACCGAAAGCAAGGTGAGAGCAATTAAGAGCGCACCTGCCCCCAAGACCAAAGCTGAGCTCCAAGCCTTCCTTGGACTGCTCAATTTTTACTCAATGTTCCTGAAAGACAAAGCTACCGTCGCAGATCCCCTACACAAACTATTGGGGAAGAATGTACCATGGGTCTGGGGAAAACCACAAGCAGCCGCTTTTGAGGCAGTTAAGAGACTTCTATCAGAAGACAGTTTCCTAATCCAATACAACGCAGCGCTACCGCTTGTATTGGTTTGTGACGCCTCCCCCGTAGGAGTTGGTGCCGTCCTGGGCCATAGACTTCCGAACGGCCTAGAGGCGCCCATTGCGTTTTACTCTCGCACCCTGTCAAGCGCAGAGCGAAACTATAGCCAATTGGACAGAGAGGCTCTGGCTGCAATTGCGGGGGTTAAAAAGTTCCACGAATATCTCTTTGGCCGGCAATTCGAACTTGTGACTGATCACCGGCCCTTGCTAGGACTTTTGGCAGGCGACAGGCCCACCCCCGCTGCTCTGTCCCCACGCTTGACTAGATGGGCTATTTTTCTTTCGGCCTATTCATACCAGCTTGTACATCGACCTGGACGGACCCTGGGTCACGCGGATGCCCTCAGCCGCTGTCCCCTACCTGACTTACTGACCAATCCAACACCTGAGGCCGCCGTCCTTCTACTGGACACATTAACTTTGGGACCTATTTCCTCTGCCGAAGTGGCTAAAGCCTCAGCCAGGGACCCGATCATTCGTACTGTGATGGGGTGGGTGCTAAAAGGGTGGCCGGTCAAGGTGGACGGGGGGGACTATCAAGGTTTTGTAAACAAACGAAACGAAGGGGGTTGTTTGTTGTGGGGTGATCGGGTGGTAGTGCCAACAAAACTACGAACGAGGGTCTTAGAATTGTTGCACGAAGGGCATCCGGGCATTGTCAGAATGAAAAGTTTAGCCCGCAGTTACGTTTGGTGGCCCAACATGGACCAAGTTATCTCTGAGTGGGTGGGGAAGTGCAAACCCTGCCAGGAGTCTCGCCCCGATCCCCCGGTAGCGCCCATCCGAGAGTGGGAGAAACCAAAAGGGCCATGGGGGAGGATCCATATTGATTTTGCTGGCCCCTTCCACGGGCAAACGTTTTTAATTGTAGTAGATGCCTTTTCGAAATGGCTCGAAATCATTCTAATGCCCTCTACCACAGCCGAGGCTGTTATTAAGGCCCTCCACAAGCTGTTCGCCACACATGGCCTACCGGATACCCTAGTATCTGACAACGGCCCTCAGTTCACAGCAACCCTGTTCGAGGGATTCTTGGCCGGACTGGGCATCCGCCATGCCCTATCGGCCCCGTTCCACCCGGCTTCTAACGGATTGGCCGAATGTTTTGTAAGAACGGCCAAAGAGGCCCTATCCAGACTAGATAACGGGGACTGGCAGGCCAGGATAGATCAATTCCTAGCTGTCCAGCATGCCACACCATGCACAGCCACAGGGAGAAGCCCAGCAGAGCTCCTCATGGGCAGGAAGCTCTGATGCGTGTTAGATAGGCTTCACCCCAACTATTCGCACGAAAATTTCAAGGGAGAGACCTCCGGACTAAGACAGTTTCAGGTTGGGTCCCCGGTGTTCGCTCGCAACTATGCCAGCGGACCTCTATGGGTTGCAGGAACCATAGTGGGCATAACGGGCCCGAAATCTTACACGGTAGACGTTGGGGTAGACAGACTCTGGAGGCGCCACATAGACCAGCTGAGAAAAAGGGCAGTCGGCGAAGCAAACATAAATTTAGACATATCCGAGCCTAACTATAACAACTTTCCCAAAACAGCTAACTCAAGCCCGGGGTCGCGAGAATACTTAGCTGACAAGCCCTGGTTCCAGCGCTGCCCCAGCGAGTCGCCACTCCCAACCGGGGATAACCACGCCCCGGACAAAATCCAGGAGGTTCCATTGGCGGAGCCAGGAGAGACAGAAAGTCCCTCCGACCAGCTCGACGCCCCACCAAACACTGAACTGCGCAGGTCAACTAGGACGAGAACTCGCCCTGGGCACCTGCGAGATTTTGTGTGTACTTATGTAAATTTTTGAATGACAGTGCCTTCTGGGAAGGGAGGGGTGTTATGTATTGATACTTTTGAGCAGGAGTTTCAAACCTGCCTACGTTTCTGATTGGCTGACAGTCCCTCCAGGATTGTATATAAGGAGGGCTGCAGCCTCTGAGTTTTTGCTGAAGTCTCACTGTAAATTAAAGAGCTGTTGTCACTTGCTTGGTTGTGCCTCTCGTTATTCCCGAACCACTTCACTTTTAATAATAAAAAGGTAATGTAAAGTCTTTTTCTCAACTCTTGTTCAGTGCTGAGCTCCCAAACTGAGATGGGAAGACCCGGGGGGGGGGGACTAAAAAATTCAACAAAAAATAAGTTTTTTTCCAGTTTTTTCTCAAAGCTGTTGGGAAAAAGCCTGTTTATTTTTCATGTTTTCCGGGATTTTTTCCAGGCCATCCCATCTCCCCACACATACAGTTTCTAACCCACTGCAATTGTTAAACTACGTGTAACCTGTAATCTACCTGTAGTTGAGGTCCCCATGGATGGAGACAGTGAGTAGATAAAAATATATGGCAAAACCTGGGGTTGAATTCCTTTAACATAAGAGATTGGTCATACTAACATATAACTAGTCACTTTGTGATCATTTGACATTACAATGGACACCCCCCCCTCCTAAATGCGCATCTATAGAAGAGGTTGTACCTTTCCCAACATCAGTAATTGTGAGAGGGATGTAGGAGTCCTAATGGTCAACTATTTAAGTACGAGCTTGCAGTGTGCTGCAGCTGCAGAAAAAGCCAACACAGTCCTAGTCTGCGGGATAGTATCAAAAACCACATGAAGTGTTAGTAATGAATTACTACTGCTGCACTTGAAATGCTGCGTCCAGTTTTGATTGTCACAATACAAAAAAAGATGTTGAGACTCTAGAGTGCAGAAAAGAGCAACAAAGGTATTTAGGGGACTGGAGGCTAAAACATCAGATGAGCAGTTGCAAGAACTGGATATGTTTATGTTTGTTTGTTTATGTTTTATGTTTTATTAAATTTATATACCGCCCTACTCCCGAAGGACTCAGGGCGGTGAACAGGCACAGATATGTCTGACACAGAGAACTAAGATTGACATGATAGCAGTATTTCAGTATTTGAAGGACTGACATATTAAGAGGCGGTCAACCTATTCTCCAAAGTGCCTGAGAGCAGTAAAAGAAGCAATAGAGGGAGATTTATCAAAACCAAATCCTTCCTAGAATTGAGACAGTCCCTGTCCATGAAACCAATAAATCAGTAGAACAGCTTGCCTCCACAACTTGTGGGTACTCCAACAATGGGATTTTTAAAGAGGAGACTGGACAGCTGTTTGTCCAGAATGGTATAGGGTCTCCTGCTTAGAGAGGTGGTCCCTTCCAATTCCTATTCCGTAATTCTGTTTGAACTTCATAAACTTTTAGGACTCCGCACGTAGCGAAACTTCACAAGCTAAGTAGTTTCACATTTCACTTGGCTCAGTTGCTGGGAGTCGAAAACGATTTGACAGCATGTAATCAGTGAAAACATCTTGCAGACGCCTAAGGCAGAGACAGGACAAGCCTGTTTTTCGACCTCCTAGGATGAGATGGCGGTCAGATAGGCAGCATCTGCAATTAGAAAGCCAACAACACGAGAGCGCCATCTGTTGGTGCTAAAAGGAACTGAAACCATCGAGTACTGTATTGCTAGACAGGATGGGAGGAGAGGAGAAATGCAGATGAACTTCCTCTTCCAGATCACTCATGGGAAGAAGGTGGTGTGCAGAGTATTATTTGTGCTCTTCCAAGGATCAAAGCATCAGCTGGAAGGTGAGTTAAGGACAGGTTAGAGGAAAGGCCGGAAGCAAGTTGGCCTGTTTGGTTTGGGTGCTGCCAACCGGTTGATGTTAATGATGGTCGCAGCATCCATACAGATACAGATTAACAGAGTTTGAAGGGACCTTCTAGGTCATCTAGTCCAACTCCCTGCCCAAGAGGTGACCCTACACCATTTCTGACAAATGGCAGTCCAATCTCTTCTTGAAAATTTCAAGTGATGAAGCTCCCACAACTTCTGAAGGCAAGCTGTTCCATTGGTTGATTGTTCTCACTGTCAGAAAATTTCTCCTTATTTCTAGGTTGACTCTCTCCTTGATCAGTTTCCATCCATTATTCTTTGTCTGGCCTTCAAGTGCCTTGGAAAATAGCTTTATCCCCTCCTTTCTGTGACAGACCCTCAAATATTGGAACACTGCTATCCTGTCTCCCCTGGTCCTTCTCTTCACTAGACTAGCCATGGCCAGTTCCTGTAACTGTTCATCATATGTTTTAGCCTCCAGTCTCCTAATCATCTTGGTTGCTCTTCTCTGCATTCTTTCCACACACTGCTGGCTCATATTTAATTGGCTGTCCACTAAGACTCCAAGATCCCTCTCACTGTTACTACTATTAATCCTGGTTTCACCCGGTCTATATGTGTACTTTTGTTTTTTCTTGCCTAAGTGTAAGACTTTATTTTTCTACATTGAATTTAATTTTGTTTGATAGGGCTCAGTGTTCAAGTCTGTCAAGATCCATCTGGATCTTGAGCCTATCATCTAGGTTGTTAGCTATTCCTACCAGCTTAGTATCACTTGCAAATGTGGTAAATTTCCCTTCTATTCCCTCATCTAAGTCGCTTATGAAGATATTTATTTATTTATTTATTTATTTATTTTTGAATTTGTATACCGCCCTTCTCCCTGAGGACTCAGGGCGGTGAACAGCCAAATAAAAACATCAAATACAAATATTAAAACACAGTTAAAAAGTATATATAGATTTGGCCCCATTAATTAAAATGATAAACAAACAAAACAATTAAAAAAACCCTTAAAAAGAAATTAAGCCAGCCCGGCTTGTTGAAAAAAGAAAGTTTTAAGGGCACGGCGGAAGGCACTGAGGTCATGGATTCTCCTTATCTCAGGGGGCAACTGATTCCAGAGGGTGGGTGCCCCCACAGAGAAGGCCCTCCCCCTGGGGGTCACCAGCCTGCATTGTTTGGCTGATGGCACCCCGAGGAGGCCCTCTCTGTGGGAGCGCACGGGTCAGTGGGAGGTCGTCGGTGGCAGTAGGCGGTCTCGAAGATAGCTAGGCCCTATGCCATGGAGCGCTTTAAAGGTGATAACCAACACCTTGAAGCGCACCCGGAAGACCACCGGGAGCCAGTGCAGTTCACGCAGGAGCGGTGTTACATGGGAGCGCCACGCTGCTCCCGTCACTACCCACGCTGCTGCGTTCTGGACCAGTTGGAGCCTCCGGGTGCTCTTCAAGGGGAGCCCCATGTAGAGAGCATTGCAGTAATCAAGGCGAGAGGTTACGAGGGCATGAGTGACTGTGCACAAGGAATCCCGATCAAGAAAGGGCCGCAACTGGCGGATCATGCGAACCTGATAAAAGGTCCCCCTGGTTACAGCCGTCAGATGTTCCTCCAAGGACAGCTGCGTATCCAGGAGGACTCCCAGATTGCGAGCCCTCTCTGTGGGGGCCAAAGACTCGCCCCCAATGGTCAGTGATGGAGTCAACTGACCATATCGGGATGCCGGGAACCACAGCCACTCAGTCTTGGAAGGGTTGAGCTTGAGCCTGTTCCTCCCATATTGAAAAGTATTGGGCCTAAGACGGAACCTTGTGGGACCCCACTGCTTTTTCTTGCGCTTCAGTGGTGCAGTGGTTAGAGTGCAGTACTGCAGGCTTCTACTGACTGCCGACTGACTGCAATTTGGTAGTTCAAATCCCATCAGGCTCAAGGTTGACTCAGCCTTCCATCTTTTCGAGGTGGGTAAAAGTACAACCCAAATTGTTGGGGGCAATATGCTGACTCTGTAAATCGCTTAGAGAGGGCTGTAAAGCACTGTAAAGTGGTATATAAGTATAAGTACTATTGCTATTTCTAGCTTACCAAAAAGTAGGTTGTGGTCTACTTTGTTGAATGCCTTGCTGAAGTCTAAGTATATTATGTCTACAGTATTTTGCTAGTCTACTAATTTAATCACTATGTTGGAGAATGAAATAAGATTGGATTGGCATGATCTGTTTTTAACAAACCCATGCTGACTTCTAGTTATTACTTTACTCGTTTCTAGATGTTGGCAGATCTGATTTTTATTATCTTTTCCAGTATCTTCCCAGGTATTGATGTTAGGTTGATTTGTCTGTAGTTTCCTGGGTCTGTTCCCCCCCCTTTTTTTTTTAAGATGGGAACCACATCAGGTCTTTTCCAGTCATCTGATAGTTCCCCGGAGTTCCAGGATTTTTGGAAGATGTGGTACAGTGGTTCTGAGATTACATCTGCCAGCTCCTTTAGAACTCTGGGATGTGATCCATCAGGTCCCGGTGATTTGTATTCAAGATCAGACAGGTGTTCTTTTACGCACACACACACACACACACACACAGACACACACACACACACCTTTTGTTTTTTTCTTATTTTAACTTTTATTTCTAGTCTGCCTTTTACAGATATGTTTTTGGTAGGTTGGACTATAGTTTCTTTTTGTGTGAAGACCGATGCAAAGAATGAGTTAAGCAGCTCTGCTTTCTCTCTGCTGCCTGTTATTTCCTTGCCATCTTCTCTCTTTTGTGGACTATTTCCTTGATTTTTTTTCTTGTTATTCATGTTGGAAGAAACTTTTTTATTATCTTTGACTTTTGTTGCAAGTCTTTGTTCATTCTGAGCCTTTGCTTTCCTGACTTTGTCTTTGCAGATTCTGGCTATTTGCTGATATTCTGCCTTAGTTATATGTCCTTTCCATTTTTTATACTTATCCTTTTTGTCTTTCAATTTGTCAGAGAGATCTTTGTGCAGCCATGCTGATTTCTTGGGATTTCTTGTTTTCTTTTTCAGTGGTATTGTGCTGGACTGGGCTTTTATGATCATATTTTTCAGTTTCCCAAGCTTCTTCAGTTGTTTTAGCCTTTATGATTTTCATCCATCTTTCACAAATTCTCTCTGAGTTTGTTAAAATCAGTTCTTATAAAATGTAAGACTCTGTTATTTATTTATTTATTTATTTATTTATTTGTTTGTTTATTGGAATTTGTCAAACAAAAATGAGAACAATAAGAAGAGAATAAAAATACAATGACAGGTTCGATAGGCACGTTAGTGCACTTATGCATGCCCCCTCTACTGACCACTTAAGTATGAAGTAAGGTCCATAGAAGTCAATTTGTGACTGAAACTGTGAAAATTTGTAGCTGAGGTAGGGCAATAATGGCTAACCTTTTTGCCATTGTGTGCCAGGACAGGGGGCAGGGGGGGGTCACATGCATGCATGCCCACACCCATAATTCTATGCGCCCTGCCCCCACGCATGCATGAGTGACCCCCCCTGCTCCCCCTGCTCCTGGCACGTGATGGCCTAGTAGGCCCGTTTTTCTTTCTCACCTGGCTCCGGGGACTCTCTAGGAGTCTAGGAAGGGCGAAAACGGCCTTCCCCACCCTGCCAGAGGTCCTCTGGAGGCAGGAAATGGCCCGTTTAACAACTTCCGGTGGGACCGGAAGGCCTGTTTTTTTCTGTCCCCAACCTCCAGGGCCTCTCTAGGAGTCTGGGGAGAGTGAAAATAGCTTTCCCCACCCCTCCAGGCGCTCTGGAGGCAGGAAACAGCTTGTTTCCCTACTTCTGGTAGGCCCAGAAGACCTTAAAATCAGCATGCGCGCAACGGAGCTGAGCTCACATACCCACTGATATGGCTATGTGTGCCACCTGTGGCACGCGTGCCATAGGTTCGCCGTCACGGAGGTAGGGCATTCCAGACTTTGGCAATTCTATTACAGATATCATATTTTTTACAGTCAAGTTTAGAACGATTTACATTGAATTTAAAGCAGTTGTTCGCGGGCATATTATTGTGATTAAAACAGAAAAAGTTATTTACAGGTAAAACATTACTATGTATAATTTTGTATGCAATATCTAGGTCTGACTACAAGCGACACAGTTCTAAGTTATCCAAACCGAGAATTTCGAGCCTAGTAGCATAAGGAATTATATTGTGTACAGAAGAGTCCACACTTTTCTCATGAAGTACTTAATTGTATTGATGTCAGATATATGGTGGGGATTCCAAACAGTTGAACAATATTCTAAATTGGTCTAGCGTAAGTTTTATAAGCTCTAATTAGCAATATCATGTTTCCAGAAAAAAAGCTTTGCAAAATTAAGTTTACAATTCTCATTGCTTTTTTAGGAATGCTATTACAGTGAGCTTTGGAGCATAAATTGTCAGAGATAAGTACACCTAGGTCCTTTAAAAAGTGAGGGTCATCTGCTAGATCAACGCCATCTAGTTTATACTTGACATTCTGATTATATTTACCAATATGTAAGACAGAGCATTTATTAATTGAAATTTGAAGTTGCCAAACAGATGACCATTCAGACACATAGTCAAGATCACTTGCAAAACAACAGAATTATCTGTAGAATAATTTTACATCATCAGCAAAAAGAACACAATTGCTTTTCAGTTGATCACATAAATCGTTGATATAGAGCAAAAAAAGTGTGGGACCTAAAACACTGCCTTGCGGAACAGCACTGTTAAATGATGCAGGATTAGACAGCGAGTTCCCTATTTTGACTTTCTGCAGTCTATTTACACAGGAAAGCAGCAATCCACTTGTGCAGAGGTCCAGAAATGCCGTAAGCGTTTAATTTCAACAGCAATTTATCATGTACTACTGTATCAAAAGTCTTACAAAAATCTACGTAAATTTCATCAACAGTATCATTATGTTCTATTGCTTGTGTTTTTGTTATGTTGAATTCTAGTATGACATGGTCACTCTCAACCAAGATTCCTGCAGTTTCAACTCCCTCTATCACTTCTTCTCTGTAAGTATTAAGTCCAGTATGGCTGTCCCTCCAGTTCCCCACTCTACCTTTTGGACAACAAAGTTGTCAGCTAGGTTGGTTAGGAACCTATTTGATTTTTCACTTGGTGCAGAATTAATTTTCCAATTGATATCGGGATAATTGAAGTCCCCCATTTCTATTATAGTGTGTTTCCTACGTATATTTCTTAGTTGGTTGGCAAAGAGGACATCTATTTTTTCTGCTTGGTTGAGTGGCCTGTAGTATACACCTATGGTAGTGTCATTCTTTTTTTCTTTTATATTGACCCATATGCATTCTAGGAGATTTTCATTTTGGTTTCGTGCATTTCTGTAGCAATATAGTGGTCCTTTACATACAGTGCAACTCCACCTCCTCTTTTATGGGGACTGGGGTTTTTTGAACAGTTTGTATCCTTCTATCAGTATCTTCCAGTCATGGGTTTCATCCCACCAAGTTTCTGTAATTCCAACTACCTTCATATCTACCTTCATGTATTAATAGTTCAAGTTCACCCTGTTTGTTCCCCAAACTTTGTGCATTTGTATATAGGCACTTGAGGTCTTTACGTCTGTCTGTGGGTATGCTTCCTATGTTACCTATTTGGTTTTTGAGTTTGTCTTCCTTTCCATCCCTCCTTACCTCATTATTTGACTTGCTTTCTAGGGGTTTCTGCTTGGAATTAGATCCTGGAAATCCTAAAGATTGGTCATCCTCCCTGATAAATTGAGTCAGTCGTTTTCCAAAAATATTCTTCCCAGTCTTTGTGAAGTGCAGCCCATCCCTTGCCAAAAGCCCATCATGGAGGTAGTGCAGACCATGATCCAGGAATCCAAAGGTTTTTTGGCATCACCAACCCTTTAGCCAGTGGTTCACTTCTAGAATCCTTTGTTATCTTACCAGGTGTTGACCTTTCGTTGGTAGTACAGATGAGAAAAACTACTTGTGCATCTAACTCCTTAACTTTCTTGCCTAGATGCTCGTAATCTCTCAATATTGTTTTCAAGTTCTTTTTTGTTTCATTCATCCCTACATGTAGCAGTAGAAAAGGGTAGTATCTGTGGGCTTTATCTCCACTTTGATCTCATCTGTCTAAAGGACAGTGTTCCAGAGGTCTTGTGATTTGTTCAGATGCAACTTTGCAAATGCAAGCGCTGCTGCCATCAAATCAGGCTTTCTCCTGGCAACCCTACCAAACAAACCATACTTGTTCAGTCTTTTTCTAATTGTACTGTCGTGAACTTGTAACACTTAACATGCTAAATGAGGCCTGTAGAGCCTGAGATGTAATGCTTGGATTTTTTGTAATTTCTCTGAGCATTGCATTGTCTGAACTTGGGGTTAATTTGCTGGGACCTCCACTCCTGAGAAGATTGGCAATTGTCTTGAATGTTTTCCACATTCACTTGTGAATGTAGAATGTAGAATGATGGTCTTTAAATTGTTTGGAAATAGACTTACAACTCTTCCCAGATTGATGGGCAGCAACAATTGCTTCTCTAAAATACCAACTTATATCTTTACTCTTTAGCATTTAATTCACACCTCAATGCTGGAGACAAGGAAACTCCTACAACTTCGGCTTTTATAGATATAGTCACATTTGCTGATGATAATTGATCAAGGGCATTTGATCAATAGCACTGGCTGCTACTTTGCCTCTTCATACCTATAGAAGAAGTAAAAGTGTTTTTAGTTTTTCACGTCTCTGTTTTGGCTTTGTTTTTGTAAAAAAACCGATGACATGGGTATAATGTGTCATCTTTTTTTGTTCATCTGACATTATAGTTACCCATTTTTAAGAACTGCTAAGGACTGGATGATTTTTACTATGTCATGATTTGTAAAATCATAGAACACAAAAAGGGTGTACTTTCTTTTTCACATAACTATATTTGATGATAACCTTTTGCAGGGCTGAGAATTTATGACTGACCTAAGTCAACAAGTGAATTTCATGAGTGAATGGATATTTGAACTTGGATCTCGGTAGTCAAATGTCACAATCAATATAAGAAATTGTTTTACCATTGTGGAATGTTTGCTTTTTCATTGTAATGTATACTTTTTTCACATCATCTGCAACCCTTCTAAAGCCAATAAAAGCTGCATTTTCTTTTGAATCTTACAGACAAAGATGATGCCTAAAAGATCACACTGGACAACTGAGAATAACAAGCAACGTTGAAAAGCAAAGCAAATTGAATAAAGATATTCTCCATTTTCTTCAAGAAAAACCACACAATACTTCTCCTTCCCCAGCAGGTGAAAGATAAAGGAAAGAAAATTAAGAACACATTTCAAGCTGGAAAATGTAGAGTATGCGGAACTCAACGATACATTATACATAAAGGTCAGGGAAGATTATTTTTCCATTTCAGCAAAAGGGGGAAATATCTGGAAGTCAGTGGGAAGGAAAGCTGAATTGGTTACATAGGGCAGATAATAATGCAGGACTTGCCCTGGAAGAAAGAAAAGGGCTTAAATCAAAGCACCCCTAAACAAGGCATCACACATATTTTAGACCTAAAGAATATCAGTGGTGGAAAAGCTCCATAGATGTGCCTATTGTGAGAAAAGCAAATTTCTAATCACAAGTGATTATACAGGGGAGAATCCACTCCGGAGAAAAGCAGATACAAATTATCTGAATGTGATAAAATCCCAGGTCAAAACAGCTCATTTTTGGTTTTGTTCATCCACATAGGAGAGATGCCCTACAAGTGCTCCCAATGTGGTAAATGCTTTAGCGAAAATGGCAACTTGCTGATCCACCAGAAGATCCACATGGGAGAGAAGCCGTATGACTGTCCTGATTGTGGAAAACGTTTCATTGGAAATTCCCACCTTGTGAGACACCTGAGGACTCACACAGGAGAGAAACCCTTTGAATGTCCTGATTGCGGGAAAAGTTTCAGTCACAATTCCAATCTCATAAGACACCAGAGAACTCACACAGGAGAGAAACCCTTTGAATGTCCTGATTGTGGGAAAAGTTTCAGTCAGAATTCCTGCCTGGTGAACCATCAGAGGACTCACACAGGAGAGAAACCCTTTGAATGTCCTCTTTGTGGGAAAAGTTTCAGTCAGAATTCCTGCCTGGTGAATCATCAGAGGACACACACAGGAGAGAAACCCTTTGAATGTCCTCTTTGTGGGAAAAGTTTCAGTCAGAATTCTGACCTAGTGAAACATCAGAGGATTCACACAGGAGAGAAACCCTTTGAATGTCCTGACTGTGGGAAAAGTTTCAGTCAGAATTCTGACTTGGTGATCCATCAGAGGACTCACACAGGAGAGAAACCCTTTGAATGTCCTGATTGTGGGAAAAGTTTCAGTCGGTACTTCAGCCTGCTGATACATCAGAGGACTCACACAGAAGAGAAACCCTTTGAATGTCCTGTTTGTGGGAAAAGTTTCAGTCAGAATTCCAATCTGGTGAAACACCAGAGAACTCACACAGGAGAGAAACCTTTTAAATGTCCTGATTGTGTGAAAAGTTTCAGTCAGAATTACAACCTAATGAAACATCAGAGGATTCATACAGGAGAGAAACCCTTTGAATGTTCTGATTGTGGGAAAAGTTTCAGTCAGAATGATAGCCTGGTGAAACATCAGAGAATTCACACGGGGGAGAAACCCTTTGCATGTGTTGAGTGTGGGAAAAGTTTCAGTCACAATTCCAACCTGGTAAGACATCAGAGAACTCATACAGGAGAGAAACCCTTTGCATGTGTTGATTGTGGGAAAAGTTTCAGTCAGAATTCCAACTTTATAAGACATCAGAGAACTCACACAGGATAGAAACCCTTGGAATGTCCTAATTGTGGGAATATTTTAGTCAGAATTCCCACCTGATGAAACACCTGAGGACTCATACAGGAGAGAAACCATATGTGGGCCCAGAGTGTGGGGAAAGTTTCATTAAAAATTTCTACCTCATGAGACACCGGATGACTCACAAAGGAGAGAAATCCTTCAAATGTCCTGACTGTGGACTATCTTCATGTATAAATTGTCCCTTATTTCCTACAAGGAAGTCCACATAAGGGAAACATTGATGAGTTTAGAGAAGGCTTGGATTTCATTTCTCATGTCTCATTAGGAATGTAGGTGAGAAATTGACTATTTTAATTCTGGCCTCATTCTTTTTACTGAAACATGTCTCAGAATTAGACTTGTAGGTTAATAGAAAAGGGAAATGGAAAAGGGCTAACGACCTCTTTCTGGTTAGTAGCAGCAGTTTTTGGATATTTCATTTTTGCAGAAGTAATGGAATTCCTCAAAAAGGCTTTTGAGTAGTGTTTTTTGTATATTGCTTATGGAATTTCCACTGATGGACTTTCCATCTTCTATCTTGGTGTCCTCCAGATTTTGAGCCCCAGAATTCCGCAGCCACCATACAAGTAGTCCTCTAGATACGATTGTAATGGGACCTGCCAGTTATGGTTGCATGTTGTAATGGTTGTTAAGCAAGATTGCCTTACTTGGAAATGATGGCTGCCTCTGGGAGATCTCCAAATGGGCAGGGCATGTATCCTTGTGCCACATGAGAAATAGACAAGTACCACTTCTGCAACTGCCAAAAAAGCAGGCTGCATTAACAGAGGCATAGAGTCAAGATAAGAAGAAGTTATGGAGTTGCTTTACATTATCCTGGTGACAGCACACCTAGAATAGTGCATCCAATTCTGGTCACCACGACAGAACCAGCCTCATGATTCTATGAATTTAGAGGCAGTTTAGAAAATAGGTACATAGTAGCCCTATAAAAGTGCTGTGTGGTAAAAGAACTTTTTTAAAAAAAGGTTATTTTCTTCAGAAAATTAATATACAGTACAAACTCCAAAAAAAGAAAGATTTTTTTCAAAAGCAAAACAAGGATAGACAAAACATTGAAAAAGAAAAAGTGTGCATTAAAAAAGACAAAAACAGATTTACTTATATTATCCCCCACACTTGAATATTCATAAATATATTGGAGCAATATTAGTTTCCTCCCCTTGTGAAGCAGCCCAAAATTTATAAAACTCTACTTCTATTTACAACCAATTCGACATTCATCTATATACGTTATGTAAAGGCAATGTAATTAACAGATGAACCGACAACAAAGTTAAACATCAAAGCACTTTGTTAACAATCTACTATTCCGTTTAATTTGTATAAAGTTTAGAATGGCTTTTTATTTACCATAAATCACCAGAATCATTGTCTCTGATTTGTCCAGGATGATATATCTTTGTTTGATTCTTATTAATAAAACTTTTTCTTAAAATTTAAGTTAAGAAAAATAAGACAACAGTTGTGTCTTATTTCCCCAAATTATAAAACCTCTTGGTCGATCCATTTAACATGTTTACTGTTAAGGATATTGTTGTGTTAACCAACCAGCAGAGCGTAGAGCACAGGAAAACGGTGCTGAGAGCAATAACTAAGATACATACAAACTGTTTTATCAAAGTTTTTATTTACTTTACTTTATAGTAAAAAACAATTGCATAGTCTTTAGTCAATCCAAGTCTTTAGCCAGTTAAATCAGTCCAGTGATACAAAAATCTTTTTACCATACAAAATAGCAGTAGGTAATAATAGCAAGTTCACGCTGGTAACAAACCACGATGGTAGCATATCCATCCACGATGATAGTCCGGGGGCAGCTCATTCCATAGGGCAGGAGCCCCCACAGAGAAGGCTCTCCTCCTGGGGGTTGCCAGCCGACATTGTTTGGCTGACGGCACCCTGAGGAGGCCCTCTCTGTGAGAGCGTATCGGGCGTTGGGAGGCATGCGGTGTCAGAAGGCGGTCCTGTAAGTATCCCGGTCCAAACTATGGAGTGCTTTGAAGATGGTGACTAGCACCTTGAAACGCACCCCTGGGAGCCACTGGGAGCCAGTGCAGCTCGCACAAGAGTCGCCCCCATAACCACTTGTGTGGCTGCGTTCTGGACCAGTTGGAGCCTCCGGGTGCTCCTCAAGGTGAGCCCCATGTAGAGAGTGTTACAGTAATCCAGACGGGAAGTGACAAGGGCGTGAGTGACCATGCGTAAGGCGTCCCGATCCAGAAAGGGATGCAACTGGGAAATCAGGCGAACCTGATAGAAAGCCCCCTTGGCCACGGCCATCATATGATCGTCTAAGGACAGCCGCATATCCAGGAGGACGCCCAAGTTGTGAATCCTCTCTGAGGGGGGTAAGGTCCCATCCCCAATAGCCAGCGATGGAACCAGCTGGCTATATCGGGGTGCCGAAAACCACAGCCACTCAGTCTTGAGGGGTTGAGTCTGAGCCTGTTCCTCCCCATCCAGATCCACATGGCCTCCAGGCATTGGGACATCACGTCAAGGGCATCATTGGGGTGGTCCGGGGTAGAAATGTACAACTGCGTATCATCGGCATACAGTTGACACTTCACCCCAAAACCACGGATGATCTCACCCAGCGGCTTCATATAAATGTTGAACAGGAGGGGTGAGAGGACTGACCCTTGCGGCACCCCACAGGTAAGGTGCCTCGAGGTCGACCTCTGCCCCCCGTCAACACAGACTGCGTACAGTCGGAGACAAAGGAGGAGAACCACCGCAGCACGGTGCCTCCCACTCCCAATCCCCCCAACCGACACAGCATGATACCATGATCGATGGTATCAAAAGCCGCTGAGAGGTCTAGGAGGACCAGGACTGAGGAGCATCCCCTGTCCTGAGCCCTCCAGAGATCATCAACCAATGCGATCAATGCCGTTTCCATACTGTAACCCGTCCTGAAGCCCGACTGGCATGGATCTAGATAGAGAGCTTCATCCAGGTATTGAGGAAGCTGTCGTGCCACCACACTCTCAACAACCTTCGCCGCGAAGCAGAGGTTGGAGACCGAATGGTAATTAGCTAATATAGCCGGGTCCATTAGCTAATTTAGCCCCACAAGCAAAACATCGTTTTACAAAATAGGCAGTTGAATACATTTTTTCTTCTTTTGGTTGTTGCCCTCTCAACTGATCCCTTTCTTGTCTTCTTCTGGATTCTTCCAATAACCTACCAGTTATGCCAGCCAATGTGAGTTCCTCTCTGGTCAGCGAAGAAACATAGTCAACTATCGTCCAAAGAAGAAAGAATTATTTAAACTTGTTGTCGTTCCGAGAAAACAAGTTCCTTTTCATGCAGCTCCTGGAAAATTCTGGTCATGGATTCCAAATGAGCCATCATATCTCCTCCTTTAAGAAGATGTTGTTTAAACAATTTCTGTGTGAGATAAATATGAGCACCCACAGTGTCACGAACATATAGTTTCTTCAACTTGGTCCAACACCTAGCAGCAGACTTCGCCACGAATATGAACAAGTTGCTGGTCACTCAGTGTTAGTCCAATAATACAAAGAGCTCGTTCATTGTCTCTGTTAAACTTGGCTAATTTCTTCGTATCGTCCTCATCAGCAGGGATGCTGTAAAATGCTGTTACATCCGGTGGATTATTTACTATGTCCCACAGTCCTTCTCTACACAAAAATAGATTACATTTGGTAGACCAGGATACATTGTTTGTTCCATCCAGCTGGGTTATCATGGAAATATTGGATACTTGTTCTTGTGCCATCTTCACTTGGATTATATATCATCAACACAGTTTTCTGTATTAGTCACATTAACTTTCAGTTTAGCTCTGAACAATTCTAATTAGTTCTGGTTGGCTCTGGGCCCATAAGCAATGTTAAGGATATTGTTGTGTTAACCAACCAGCAGAGCGTAGAGCACAGGAAAACGGTGCTGAGAGCAATGAATATGATACATACAAACTTTATCAAAGTTTTTACTTTACTTTGTGGTAAAAAACAATTGCATAGTCTTTAGTCAATCCAAGTCTTTAGCCAGTTAAATCAGTCCAGTGATACAAAAATCTTCTTACCATACAAAACAGCAGTAGGTAATAATAGCAAGTTCATGCTGGTAACAAACCACGATGGTAGCATCCATGATGATAGCATCTCCACACACCATGGTAGCATAACATCAATGACTACATTTCAGCTCCCTTCTTAAATACAGTTACAACAGAGCTTATCCAATTAGGATATAATGACTCAGCATTACAATGACTCAGCATTACAATGACTCAGCAGTACTACTTAAAGTCATATAATACATATTCATGTTAAAGTCATAGAACGCATATATTGTCCATATATTGCCTGGACAACCTGTTAAGCATACACCATATTCTAACATTTACAACAAGATAGTCAAGAACAGAGGGACATTGTGAGTTAAATCCAAATAGCATAAAGAGCACACGGAAGAAAAAAAGCGGGAAAAATGGGAAACTTCCCCTTTGCATGTACAGCAACCAATTATAGCCTAGATTGCCTCATGTAGGAGGTTTTAATGGTTTTGTCATGAGGTCAGCTAAATTATTTTCTGGTGGACAATAAATTATGTCTATTTCATTTTCTTTCACTGCTGCTCTGACATTACATTATGTTGTTGGAAGAAACATCCTTCTGGGTTCTGCTCCAAGTGGGGAAACAGACACTGGAAACATGGAGACTGCTTGGAAAGATGGTTTAATGGTGGACAGGATCACATGGCTTGAGTTCCTGAACAGAAAAAAGGGCAGATACAGTAAATCCTCAGGTTTTTATGCTCTCTCTGGCTCTGCATTTCTTGGGGCCCTGAAAGAGTATCCTGATTGGTTGTCAGACTCCCAGGGGGTGGGAGCCTTGCTGGCTGATGGTCAGATGTGCTTCCCAGGTCACATGTGGTGAGTTTCTACTGCTATTGTGTAGAGGGCTAATCCTATCTTTCGCAATT